CAATGCAAGTGTGTGTGTGTGTGTCTGTGCGTGCGTATGTGCGTGCGTGTGGCTTTCGAGGTTCGAACAGACGTTGCCACACAACTTGGATTCTCCAATCGGAACTCCCTACACCCTCCAAGTCCCGCACCCACCGCAAGTTCCTGCACCCTAAACTAGTTGCCCCACAGTGGGTCATCTTAACCATATGGCTTGAATCCTTTAACGAAGCCCCCTCCAGCTGAGGTCTTGGCCGCATGTTCCATATTTCCGGCTTTCGCCCATCGTCCCCAGCATCCCCTTGGGATCTTAGACTCTGAGGCGGACGTTGCCTTGGGTCTTCAGCTGCCATGCAAGTTTTTTAATAAATACATACGCAGGTACATACATGCGTATATGCATGCATGCATACATGCATGTAAGTAGGATACCACCTCTGTGATACACGCGTTTATGAGCAGGACTCCCCAGCACGTTCCAATTGTTAGCACGCGTCGACGAGAATTTTAACGGAATGTTGTCTTCAACTCCCACCCGGGTCGCCGAGCTCCCTGACACAGTAAAGCCTGCACGCCTTCCTGACCAGACGGGCTACGATGGCTATGACTGGTCCAAGATTCCGTCAGTTTTCGCCCCTCGGCTATGCTCGTGTGAAAGCGACCTAACGATTATCCACCAGTTCGAGCTTGTTGGCTTGCTTGCGGGGTTTGGCACGGCACTACTACGGGTCGCCTCCCCACTGGCTGACCTGGGCCCTAAGAGCCTCGGGTTTGCGCTTGCGGCTTTCGGATGCACGGCTCCGCTATTCAGGGCTTGGAGTCTTTTAGAGAAGTGAGAGGTCGGCGTGACGTTGCTGCCGACGCGAAGAGTAGGTCTCCTTCGACTTGCTGGTGGAGAACACCCTAAAACCCTAAACCCTAAAACCCTAAAGCCCTAAAGCCCTAAACCCTAAACCCTAAATTCCTGCGTGCCAGGCGTTTCGGGATCAAGTGCCTGGGAGCTGAGACTTCCCCTTTCCGAGCCATGGCCCGATTTGGATCCCTCCTCGTGCTCCTGGCGGCGGCGTGCCTGGCACTGTGGTCAGGCGTTCCGGTAGGGCCCGGCAATTCGCACGGCCGCTTCAAATCATGTGTTCAGTGCAGCAGAGTCCCCTTTCACTTGTGCTGCTTATCACGTTGTTTCGTCTTTGTTTGGTTGTGTGTTCGTGTTTGTGTGTCTTTACGTTGCTGCTCACTCTCACAAAGCGACAGACGCATGCTTTTGAAGCCACGGGAATGCCTCCCAATGACGGTCAACACCAGCTGAAGTGTTCATTGCTCTCGTTTGGATTTTCCGGAATAGACGTCCGACAGAGTACGGGTGATGAGTCGATGCAAAGAGTTCTCCTGGCTCTGATGAGCCGAACTCCAAGTGGCCAGGTGTGCCAGGTCCCCCGGCCGTTGCGACGTGCTTCCTTGCTGGTTCTTTGTTTCGCACATGGACTTTGCTCCGAACATTCATGCAACTTTTAGGCGTAATTGCCTACAAAAGTCTTCAAAACTCTATGCGCATCTTTCGGAGGAGTCCCGATTCGAGCCATGGTTTCATCAGTCTGTCTCTTCGGAGGCCTCAGCTTTGTGGGCGCTCCGGCAGCTTCCTCCCCGCGCACGGCCGTCGCCCGGCACGCCGAAGCGAAGAAGGCCGACGTCTTCGTTCCGGGCAGCCGAAGATCTTGCTTGGAGGTTCATGGGTAGTTATAAGTGGGGTATTTAGTAGGGAAACTATAATTATAACCCATATTAGGGGACTTATAACTCCATGTATAACTACCCATGAACCTCCAAGTGGGGATCCGGATCCGGCACGTTAGAGAGCGCCTGTGTAATGCAGGCCCCCGATCGAGCTCACAAGCTCAAACCCCTGCTTTGCCGATCCCCCCCGTCAGGCTCCGAAGAAGAAGGCCAAGGCGCATATATTTTCAGAGCTTGTAGGAAGTCACAGTTAGCAGCTTCTTCTGGGGGTGGAGGTTTGAAGGCAAGAACTTTGTTGGAATCGAGGAATCGAGGCACTCGTGTTGGACCTCACTTCTGATCGTTCCTTGTGTGGTTCTTTTTCGGGCCATCCTACATGCCTGATCCAACCTGCCCACATAGGATGTATAGTCGTCACCACAAGGATCCGATGCTCCCGCATGCAGTACATCTTTGCATGGAAGGGAAGTCGCGAAGGTTAGGTTGAGGTCCTGTGGGTTTGGTCTTCCACCCCATAGATGGCTCGAGAGTCTGCCATCGTAGTCCAGCAATACCCCGTGAACAGACCTCACCTGGCCAAATCCGAGTGAGAGTGCGAACGCTACAGCAGAGCTCAACAAAGAAGCCCAAACCCTCCTGTAGACCCTAAACCCCGAAAAAAGCTCCAGACCATAAACCAGCGAGAAAGCCCTAAACTCTAAACCATAAAAGCAGACCCTCAGCCGCACACTGGACCAGGGCCCATGGGTGGGGCCGAAGAAGGGCTCTTGGGTCGGGATCCGAGGAGGGTTTATTAGGGTTTTGGCGTTTGGGTTTTTTCTTTAGGAGTTGAGATTTTCCACTTTGGTGTGTGGGGTTTAGTTAAAGGTTTCCGGATGGGGTGGAAGCTTCAGCAGGTTGTGGCTGTGTAGCTTTTTCGACTGACCGTTAAGGACATGAGGGATTAAGGCTACGGCGTTCGGCATCCGATTCTCTGGGGTTAGTAGCTGGGGCGGGCATGGATTCGGAAGATTGGTGCTTCAAGCTTGTGTTGGGATCTTCTTCGGAATTAAGCAGATCCTCTAAGAATGTTTTATCACGTTGTTTCGTTTTTTGGGCGCAAGGGGACTGTAGAAGACTCCTCTACACTCCGACCTTTCCACACTCTCGAGTAGGGTTACTTCAACCCAACCTAGAATTTTGTTGTATCATCGCACCTGAGCCCTGAACCTCAAACAGTACATGCCCCAGCCCCAAATTGAGCAGACACCCGAACAAAATGTCGAAAGGCACCACAGCCGTCACATAGTCAATCCAGATCCAGAGACCCTCAGCAGCAAGGCCCCAAACAGAAAGCCTCAACCTCTAAATCACGGACGCCTATACCCTATAGACCCTGGCCCAAACCCCCAGCCCAAACACCTTGCAAGGCTCGTTTCCAGTTGTGAGTGCCGAAACCCTAAGCCCTCAACCGTTCAGAACAGCACCCGAGGTGAAGATCTTGCGCCCAGAGTCGTACTGGTTCCAACAGCGTGGCCAGGTGAGGGTCCAGGATTGTTGTTGGGCTCAGAGGGTTTGAGGCTCTGTGCCTGAATCTATTTCAGGTGTCCAACAATCTTGACCAGCATCAGCATCAGCTGCACCACCGCCACCACCGCCACCGCCACCACCACCACCACCACCACCACCAGCAGCTGCAGCAGCAGCAGCGGCAGCAGCAGCAGCAGCAGCAGCAGCAGCAGCAGCGCCACTACCGTCACTACCGACCACCACTAACACCGCTGCCACAATGGTCATAATGGTCTCTCCCACCAGTACAGCCCCATGTCCTCGTTCTGACTACCAGCACCACCACCATATCGTCATCGTCATGACCGTCGCGATCACGAGCTGGCGGTGACCAGTTCAGCGTCCGTTGACCGCCGAGATCCATCTACAGGCCCCCTGCAGCCCCCGGTAAACCGCACACCCTGCCGAAACCCTAAACCCTAAACCCTCAACACGAACAAAGATCCTGAGGAATGCGTTTTGGTGGTTTTTTGGCGTATGTCATAACCGCAGAGCCCAAGAGCGGCCGCGGAGGTGGTGAACGTCAATCAGAAGCCGGAAGTTAAATATCCGGTCACGGTGAAGCCCCTCGCCTGGTTAAGGGTTTGTTGCGTTTACCGCTTTAGGGTTTTAGAGTTTGGGAGTTAGGTACGTAGTAGTCAGGACTCCACTTTAGGGTGTGCTGGTTTGTGGCATGTCCGGGGCCTTACCTGTTTCAAGCGAGGGTGTGCGGAGGGGTCTCATTACAGGCGCCTAGACCTAAACCCGCTTCGAACGTCTGGCACCCGTAAGGAAGACGAACAGATAGAGGCATACATACACAAACGCACATGCGGAGACACGCACGCAAACTCAATCGCGTGCGCACACACATACAGATGTGCCCACACAGCATTCAGGCAGGTATGTATGGATGTAGGATGTATACGTTGGAAACCTCGAACCCATCTTTTCCCAGGATTCGGGCTTTCCGAGACAACAAGCCATTTTTGGACTCGAAAGCGGATTTGATTGGAAATCGCCAGCTCGACATCTGCGTTCAGTGGCGGTCAGGGTTTAGGAGACTTCACCCAGGTTCGATTCCGTGAATTATGCCAACGTGAACACGAACGGCTACGCCCTGTGGGAGGTGGCGGTGGAGGGCCGGGGCGAGCTCGGTTTGAGAGCGTGGGGTCTAGGTCCAGACCCGAAATCCTACACCTCATTTCTACCTCCCCAAACCCCAAAGGTCTGACGCCTGAACCCTAAACCCTAAACCCTAAACCCTGAACCCCCCCCTGAGGCGTTCGAACCTTGAGACACCAATCCGAGTATTCGGCAGAGCTGCTAAACAGGGTTTGGGGTGTCACCAAGGCCAGGCTCCCTCCCTAAACCCTAAACCCTAAACCCTAAACCCTAAACCCTAAACCCTAAAACCCTAGAGCCCTAGAGCCCGAAACCCTCAGCCCCTAAACCTCCCTAGACCCTAAATCCTGGCTGAATCCCGAGTCCTCAAGGCAGCCCAGTTCCACTTGGAGGTTCATGGGTAGTTAGAAGTGGAGTCCCTAATATGGGTTATAAGTATAGTTACCCTCCTTATAACCCCACTTAGAACTACCCATGAACCAGCATGGCCCCGGTCTGGCCAAGGCATCCTCCGGCGCATCAGGTCGAAGACGAAACCGAAGCAATGTAGGGGCCTAAATAATTACCTAGATTATTTTGGGGGTTCCCTATTTCTAACTATAGTATAATATCCCCCAAAACCCTATTCTAATTATTAAAGCCACTACATCACGCAGATCCAACATCTCAGAAAAGTTCCACAGCACGCAAAGGCTCCCAGCCGCTCCTTGCAATCAAGAACTGGATCACCCAAGAACCTCACGTAAAACCCGCTCTAAACCCGAGAACTCTAAACCCTAAAACCCTAAACACCCCTAAACCCTGAACCCTACCCCCTCCAACCCCTGACCCTCAACCCTAAACCCTAAGCCCTAAGCCCTAAACCCTAAACCCTAAACCCTAAACCCCTAAACCCCTAAACCCAAAGAGCCCAAGACCTGCAACTGCCTCTGTACCCCTTTCAGGTGATTGAGGCACCGGCACCCGGGCCTGGCGAGGTCTGAGAGCAGGAAGTTGCCAGAGAGGGCGGGGCGGATTCTTCTAGTTATACTTCAAGTGACTCAATATGAGCTATAGTTCTAGTTACACAATACTGTATGGGGTTATAACTCTAGTCACCCTACTTTCATGATGTCTTGAGACTGCGGGGCACAGAGGTAATATAGGGTCCTAATTTCATACCGTTTTTTTGGCGGGGAGGTTCAATATCACACTATAAGTACGATCATGACCGCAGGTCCGCATCACCTATTCTAAGTATTCAGGCCCTTATTTTATGCAAAAGCGCAGACCTAGCAGACACCTGTTCCGCTTCTTAATAATCGCAGGTAGCTACCATTGTGAATTGTGAATACATCACCATCATCATCATCACAACCACTGTTTGCTATTATTATTGTTATTCTTCTTCTTATTATTATTACTACTATTTGTGTTACTTGTTCTTGTTATTATAATATTATTGACCTGAATCGAACACTCGTGTTTTGTTCCGTGTACGGGGACCCCACGTCCGTAAGGGCAGTCAGTGGTGTGACCCCATGGATCGTCGACTGACCTGAATCGACTGACCTGAATCGAACACTCGTGTGTTGCTACGTGTACGGGGACCCCACGACCGTAACGCCAGTCAGTGGTGTGACCTCATGGATCGTCGAATGACCCGAATCGAACACTCGTATTTTGCTACGCGTGCGGGGGCCCTGCATCGGTAACACTGGTCACAGGTGCACCCCATGGATCGCCCACCGACCTGAATCGAACACGTGTTTTGTTACGTGTGCGGGGACCCCGCGTCCGTATCGCCAGTCGGTGTGTGACCCCATAGGTCGTCGAATGACCTGAACCGAACACTTGTGTTACGTGACCGGTATTGCTATAGAAAGGTTTTTATAAGGGTGTTTCTCAAAACTCGGGTACTTCTTTCGATGCTGACAGCCATAGATTTCATATATTCAAGAATCCCAGAGCAACCCTGCCGCGGTTTTGTCATGGTCGTGCTAGGTAGACATGGCAGCCCACACAACACACGCACCTCCAGAAACATATCCATTCAGTGGAAGCCACCCACAACACACCTCGGAAACCTGACCACACCCTCGAGGAGAACAGCGACAGATCTCCGAATTACATACCCCGTTGCCCACCACAGAAATGTGTCACAGTGTCACATGATTTTGATTTACAAGGCGTTCGCTCAGGCTTTCGTCGCTGCCCTCTGACTGACACTCATAGACGGAGGGTTAGGGCCAGAATGGCAACAAAAAGCGCAGCTCGCGTGCGAGCGCAGAGGTTGAAATGTCTGGGGTCTCGGGTTGGCCTTACACCTCCAGATCCCGAAACCCTACACCCCTGACCCGAACTTTCTGCTTTAGAGTTTAGGGTTGAGTCTAGCTTCCGATCAACTTGGTCCGTGGCGCAGATTTTTGAGTGGACCCGGGGATGTGCGAGCCTCGCAATGCGCTCCTCCAACCTCGGAAAGACAGGGCGCAGCTTTTTTCGGCAGAGTTTGGTTTGGGGGTTTAGGCTTCCGGGATCCCTAAACCCTAAACCCTAAACCCTAAACCCTGCTCAAAAAAAAAAGGCTTCCGGGATCAGGGCGAGGGCTTGCAGCTGAATCGGTTAGGGCTGGAGGGCTGAGAGCATCATGCGTATACCCGAGGTGCGGCAAATCGGTCATCACCTAGGATGCTATGTAAACTAAAAGCCTTAAGCCCATAGAAAAGTTGCGAAGAGCCGAAGCCCATAGAAACCCAAAGCCACAACGACTTTAAGACGACCTTCCGGTGTCCCATGCTTTACTATTACTCCATAGCTATAGGCTATAGGTTTAGGGTGCAGGGTTTAGGGCCCCAGCTATCCAGAACCTGATCCCGATAATCTCACCCCGAGGCCTGCCCGAAATCTTAAAACATTCGAAGTCCAAGCTTCCAAACCGCCAAAGCCTCCGGCAAGACACCCAAAAGCAATATAGACGCTCGAGTAACTGCCTATCTTGTTCCCTTAGGTTCCTGAACGTATTCACGCAACAGTAGCTAGTATAGCCCGAACCCCTTTCTAGCTCTCAAGGCCCCCTCCCCCTCAAAAAAACAACCTAAACCCTAAACCCTAAACCCTAAACCCTCAACCCTAAACCCTAAACCCTCCTCTATTCGTCCCCACTCCCTAGACCCAGCAGCTCCGAACCCGAAGTGCTCGAAGCCCCGGAAGGTCCTCAAGCGCAGGGGTTTGGGGCTTTGTGTTCGGGTTCGCAGGGCCTAGAGTCCGGGGCTTCTACTTGGAGGTTCATGGGTAGTTATAAGTGGGGTTATAAGTAGGGTAACTGTGATTATAACCCATATTAGGGGACTGATAACTCCTCTTATAACTACCCATGAACCTCCAAGTAGTGTTCAGGGTGCAGGGCGTAAGCATTCCGGATTTTTTTTGGTGTATAGCGTCGTGTGCTTCTCCAGGGGCTCCATAGGCAAGACTGCTACTGTTAATTTCCATCGCGACTTTCGACCCTTGCTTGGATTTTTGGTTCCGTTGCATACCTTGGGCTTTTTGGGCATCGTGTCTCCGTGTCTGCCCCGGTTCCTTGGGATGTCGCCTGCAAATTCCGTGCCCAAGGATTCCTTAGCAGCTGATCAGCACAGCTACGCGCACATCGGAACCTGCGCGCTGATGCTGGCCGTTAGCTTGGGGAGCCTGGGTGAGAATTACAAGGGCGCTCCTAACTAGCCATCTTTCCTGGTGGGACATCTGTACTGCCCTACCTAGAGGTTGAAGGGATCCAAACCCAAAACGGAAATCGCTCCATCCTCAAATGTGAACCCTGCATCGTCTTGAACTCGGGGTTTGGGACCCTCCTCCACCGTAAACCCTGAACGCTCAACCGAGACGGAGCCAAAAGAATCTAGACTTGGGTTCCAGAGTTTCGGCGTGGTTGCCATAATATACTAGTATATACTGTAGTCTACTATAATTCCATAACACCATAACATATTCAGATACACTGTACTATACTATAACATACTATACTGTACTATAACATACTCCGATATATTACAAAGAGTATACTACTACAACATTCCCTAACTAACAAAAAGCTTAGAGCTTTTCTTAGGGACGTCTGTTTGGCCGAAGCCAAAGGGTCCAAGTTATAATATGGTACATACTTTTGGGGCCCAGATACCTACAAAGTAGCTACCATATTACTACTTGGACCCTTTGGGGAAGCACCCTAAACCCTAAACTCCAAACCCTAACCCTAAACCCTAAACCCTGAACCCTAAACCCTAAACCTAAACCCTAAACCCTAAACCCCTAAACCCCCAAGCCGAAGCCTGAGGCTCTTCTTCCTCACCGTGCGCCCCGAGCAGGCCGCGCTCACCAGAACCTACTTTTTTGTAGGGCCCCTATAAATCCCATGTTAGGGTTTATAATAGGAACCTACAAAAAAAGTGGGTTTTGGTAGGTTAAAGTAGGGTTTGGGGTCCCGGCAGTCTGAAAGAGAACCATGCTGTCTGCCTACATGGACTGAGACGATGCTTTGTGTATACCTGCTTGCAATTGAACGGCAAGTTCACATGGCTCCTTCTCCTGATGCACCGGAGGTGGAAGTATGCAGGACACTTGCTGCGCAACCCATCAGTAGCCTCCCACTCGCAATCATTAATGCCCCCCAGCGTGGATTTGTTAAGCAGGCGATTCCAGCTCGTTGGAACAGTCGTGACACTTGGCGTGTGAACCAACTGCATGCCTTAACTACAATGGCTTCAGCCTGATGTCAACCAGCCGTCTCTGCAAGAACTCCAGGCTCTTGCTTCTGATCGTGACGCTTGGTTTGCGGGTTGGAATCGTCTGGAGTTTCAGTATGAGCTGGATCCGAAGTATGCGCATGGTTTCCTCTGGCCCAGCTTGCGAGTGGCATTGCGGGCAAGTGTCAGTTGGAAGCAGACTGTTGCAGTGTGCTGGACTGATGATGGGTTATGGCTGGTGTGGCTGCCATGAGATTGAGGGACCCAGCTTGATTGCTCATGATGAGGATTTCGTGAGAGGGGTGGGGTTCGATCACATGACTTCGGAGCATGTCTGGGAACTGGATTTTTTCGTGCATCCTGCCTTTCTTGACGCAAACCTACATCAACGGTGCGACCACGCGGGCTAGCTCTGGTGCGGGTATTCCTGGCATACATGCTTTTGGGCGTACAGGGCCTTCGGAACCTGCGGCTGAGACGAGTGCACGCTTGGCCCAGGAAACGGGTCAAGCCTGTTCTGTTGCCTGTGGCATGCGGGCTCTCCTTGTGTAGCTAGGAGAACCTCTGCAGGTGCAATCCTCTAACCCTAAAGCACGAGATCCTACATCTTGAACCGCTTAAACCCTGTACCCCTGAACCCTCAACCCTATAGCAAATCCCAAACCTTGAAACCCTAATCAGCAAACCCTTGAACCCTAAAGCCCTGCAAAAAAGCCCTACAACCGAAATTCTAAGCCCTGTAGCCATAAATCTTAAAACCTGAAAAACACACTCCAAACCTGGGAACCCTAACCGATAGATAAGTCCTTGAAACCTAAAGTCCTAAATCCTAAGGCCTAAACCCATCACCCCTAAATCTTGTAACCCCCAAACCCTGAACCCCGGGAGGCATCCAAGCAGGCAGCTGATGAGGATGAGGATTCCGACGACGAGGCACAACCGCAGGACAAGTCATCAGCACCTGGGCTATTTTGGCTGGTGGTTGAACGGCTCAGGACTCTTTTGGAGCTTCGGGCTTCAGGGTAGTTTTTTGGAGTGTAGGGCTTTGGGGTTAGGGTTGGATCATAAACGGCGCCAAGTTTCAATAAGATGATTCGATATTTTCAGTCACGTTCATGATGTCCATGTGACCAGCCAACCCTTCTCAACAAATCGGACGGGTTGATGTAGATGCAGTTTCCGAGGGGTGTCTGTGGCTTGAACCCCAAGCCCTGAAACCGCAGAAGGTTGACGCACAGCGAAACGTGTGGGTTTGAGAACCTCGTCGTCTTGCTCTCTGAAAATCGAAATAGGGTATGTCAGCTAAAGTATACTTAACTCGCGGAACCCTGAAGAAGTGTGTTTGACTGCACTGAGAGCAGAAGGCTCTGACATCTTTCTGCAAGGTTCCCGGTGGCTTCTCGCATCACATTTTGGAGTTCTGTCGCCTATGGTGAATACCAAGCTCAAAACAGCAACCCCACGCCAGTAGGAGCAAACTTCAAATCGTCGCAACATCGAGTATTGCATTGGGCCGTCTGGAGTGCGTGTGGCATGATTACTAGAATGCATGCTATTGCACAGGGCTAGCGGCTATATAACTGTAGCTGAACTTCATCTTTCCAGGTGTAGACCGTGCTAAGTCCAAGGCCACTACAGGGGCCAGCCACGCACAAACAAGCCACAACGACCGTCGCTGTTCGTTTAACAGTAGACATGTGAATCTAACAGGAACCAGGCCTTTGCGTATCCTTGTTGAATTGGTTGTAGCACCACCCAGTCTAAGGACCAAAGAACGGAGAGATGCTGGTTCTCCGAGTTACTGAGGCATAGAGCTGGGAGCTTCTGGATGACACAGACAGAGACCGACACAGGCACAGACACAGAGGCAGACATAGACAGACAGGCAGTCGGGCAGACGGACAGGCAGAGACAGACAGAGACAGACAGGCCGGCCTTCGGGCCAGGGCTCTTCGGAGTCCATACCCCATGCAAGCAAGCAAGGCAGGCAAGCAGACAGACAGATGGACAGAGACGGGAGCGGACGGACGGACGGACGGACGGACGGACGAAGACATGCGCACGCACGCACGCACGCACGCACGCACGCACGCACGCACGCACGCACGCACGCACGCACGCACGCACGCACGCACGCACACAGACACACAGACACACAGACTCACACACACAGACACCCACAGACACACAGGCACACACAGACACACAGACACACAGACTCACACACACACACAGACACCCACAGACATACAGAGACACAGAGACGCAGAGACACAGAGACACAGAGACACAGCGACACAGCGACACAGAGACACACAGACACACAGACACACAGACAGACAGACAGCCAGGCAGGCAGGCAGACAGACAGACAGACCGACAGACGGACAGACAGACAGACAGACGACACACAGAGAGACAGACACACAGACACACAGACACAGACGCATGCACCTTTACACGTACAGCTTGCTTGTATGTAGGCTTTGGTATGAACGCTGGCTTTGCAGTTGTGGGGCTTTCGTATTTCAGCTACCAGGTCCAGCCACGAAGCCTCGCATGTCTCCAGACCCCCTGTTCGTTGGGTGTAGTGTGGGTCATTCATGGCACAGGCGCAGTGAACCTCTGATGGGCCTTGACCGAACTCTGAATTTATCGAACCTCTTGAGCTCTGCAACTTGTGAGAAGTGCCCTGAGCACTTCAGCCTGGAATCTTCTGAACTTGCGATACATGGCTCGTCCTCAGAGATCGCAAGCAGGAAGAAGCAGAGGGCACAGGAGGGCCTGATGCTCTCCTTCGCCGACCCGGAGATGGAGAAGGCTTGGATCTTCAGCCGAATCCTCCGTAAGCTTTGTGCTAGGACAACGGCTCACATTGGGCTTCAGAAACCCGGAAACCATGAGATCCCCTACCCCACCACAGCCGCGAAACCGCAACCTCAATGCCACCTGAAGCCCATCGTTGAATCGATGGGCTTCAGGCGGAGAGGAAGTGCTGGACCATCGGAACTTGCCGTCGGGGGGGTCGGGGCTGTAAAGAAGAGAGAAAGATTGGCCTAGCTGTGATCCCTACTGGTATCTTGCTCTTCTGATTCGTAATCACACCGCATACCGCAATCCTGCCAAAACGATAGGGATCCTTTCTCAAGGTGCTTAAAGAAAGGGAATTGGTTTGTCCGCTGTCTTCCAGGTCCCTCCAGCACCCCTCCCTGAAACATTGGCACTTGCCTCTAAGCCCTCGATTCCTCGTCCTCCCGCAGGCCTGGGTGCTAGAGAGCCTTCCCAAGTTGCTTGGATGAGTCAGTTTTGGCTTGAGCGGCTCGCGCGAAACCCTTGACATGCGCATCTGTGGCGAGCCATCTCGCCAATCTGGCGTTCTGTGAAGCATCATATCTGCCTATCTCGAAGTGCGCTGCAGTTGAGTCGGGTTTTCGAGCAATTGGTGGTTGCGGTGTCCTGAGGCACGTAGCCTCAGACACAAAGCTTATCTCAAATCCTGATGCCGTCAACGCCGAAATCCGACACCCTTAAACCCGGACCAAGAACCTCGCCTGGCTTGTCCGAGATTGAGCGCCGAAACTCGAATCTCTGAGTCGCTGCTAAGCGACTAGCCCTAAAGCCTAAGCCCCACATGGGGGTTTCAGAAAATAGGGGACCCTAATATAGCATCCTAAATAGTAAGATCCTTATTATAAGGACCCCAAAAAAGCTACCCTAATTTTCGGAGACTCCCACATGTTCAGGAACATGCAGCAGGGAGGGGCTCTGATGGCCGCCATGTCAGCTGGTCTCCTCATCAATCGGCTCACATATGTGGCCCTCCGTGCAAAGATGGGGTCCCGAGCCATTTACGGTGCTTTTGAAGATTTGCAGCGTCCATGGAACAGACTTTTTGGGAAACCCTAAACCCTAAACCCTAAGTCTGGATGTTTGGGATTTCGGGGCTTTCAACTTTCATGGTGAGGGTCCCGGGTTTCGGGCTCGCTGGTTGAAGTTCAAAGGTATTGCAGGGGACTGTAGCGGAGAGGCGAGAAAACACCCGACCACACATGCCACAATATGCGAGGCCTCACTCATTAGAATAGGGTTTTGGGGCCCATTTTGCTATAAGTATAACAAGGAACCCCCCCCCCCCCGCAAAATAGTATTGGTAATTCTTTAGGCCCCTACATGATTGCAGCATGGACCTTCCAAAAAGCGAGACTGAAGGCTGCCTTCGGCACCCATTCGTCCGATCCGCTGAACTCCGGGTCCCCTGGAACACCATATTCAGTAGACCTCAGAAGCTTTGAAGCCCTAAGCACCCTAAACTTCCCAGACCAAGCACCATGTTCAGCACACCCGAAACCTCTCAAGCCCCTAACTTCCCAGAACCTGTCCTAGCCTTTACATGCCTCACCCAATACTCAGATGCAATGGCGACTATCGTGCCCGAACATCTTGTACCAGGACCGGGCCGGGCTTCGGGCAAAGGCAGCCTGGCCATCAAACTCTGATCCCTGTGCTGTCAGTATCGGGCGTAAGGGTTTTAGGGTTTAGGGTTTTGGGGTGTGAAGGTTCATAGATGTGTAGGTTTTGAAGGGTTCGTGCCTGCAGGGGTGTCAAGACATTCACAAAAACCGACCTAGCAGGAGACCACGCCAGATGCCGTCTTCCTGATCAGCGCCTTGGCCGGTTTCATCTAGGTTAACTTTAGCATAGAGACCTGAATAATTTGTACGACTCCTTAGGGTTCCTTGAGAACCGTACTTTTATTTTAAATGTACCCCCAATGCCCTGTTCGAAAAGTTCAGGCCACGATATTGCTTAGCTTTGCGTGGATGGTAACCTTAGATCTACGGGATCTGCAGCGGGGGGGGTGGGGTGGGGAGTCCAGGTAAGGTCTCAAGCGTGGGGTGGCATGGAGTGGGGGTTGGGTTGAGGTGGTTGGGGGGGGGGCAGCTCCTCCCTGGATTTGGTAGGTTTAGTGTTGGGGTTTAGGGCTTTTGGGTTCAGGGTTTAGGGAAACGGAATTTATCGGTTCGAGGGGTCCAGCAGAATATAAGCCCTTACATACCCCTTGCAGCCCTGACATAGGCTTTGCAAGGCACTTGCATAGCGTTGTTTTCGTTCTAGCTGCATGTTCGATGAACCCCAATGTTGGCCCGGGACTTACATAGGCTACACAAGCCAAGCCCTCTAATGCATACGTAGGATTGCCTTGGACCGTCTATGCGCGAACATTGGAAGCAGTATGTAAGCAGAATGTGTGGCCGACATGTGTCAGGACGATCACCACCCGCCCACTGGTTACGCACGAGAACACTTCCTAGATTAGTGATTAGAGTAACGTACATAATCCTATCTTTATTGCATACTTATAGCAACCTTTGTGTTCAGGTTTGCAAGAACACGAAGGGTTTCGGCATCTCCAGGCCAGACTCCACCAAATTTAGGCTTTGGGATTTAGGGCCCATCTTTGGACTGGGACTTAGTCTAGGGGCAAGTTTAGGGCTTAGGATGTGGTTGCCTCGGATTTAGTTTTAGGGCTTATGGGGTTTTAGGTAAGACTCTCTGGACATCCCTAGACCCTAGCGGCCCTGGACCCAGCTCCTGAAAATCAGGCCGATGAGCTCTTTTTCCTGACCTCTACATGTAAACTGCGAGCCAAAAAAACCCTAAAGCCTAACGGGCCGACTGTGTCCGAGTTGCGAGATCGTCACGGATCGACCCCCCTAGTAGTAACACCCTAAGAACGTACCCGTTGCAGTGACCCTTAATTTAAGGTCTAGGTTTACGGTGATTATGAGTCCACGAGGATGTAGTGTTGAGGTAAAGGGCTTACAGTGCGAAAGCCCGACAGTACATCGCTAAAGCCCGAACCCCGAGAAGTCTCCATAACTCCGAGGCTTATCTCTAGCCCTCCTGGCTTCCGTTGATCTGGCGTGGCGCTGCTGGAGTGAGTTTTGCTTTGTGGTTTGTTTTCGGGCTCCTTAATGGGGCTTCCAGGGAGTCCAGAGTTCGGACAAAAGTTCAGTTAAACGGGCGAAGCATGTAGCTGCCGTTCGGGCTTCGACGCTGAGACAGAGAGACGCATCCATTGTCCGGGCTCCCCCCGCTCCTTTGGCTTGGCAGGGTCCGCTCCTCTCAGGTGGAGGAAACTACCTGCACGGCGAGCGGTGACATGGAGGCATGCAATCACCTACTGGGGCACCTTGGCTGGCAAAGGCAATTCAATTCTTGTGGCTCCTGTTGACATGTTGACGAACAGCATCACCGAATGGCTACTCCAGAGATTCGGTCCAGATCTCGAACACCAGTTTTCTCTGTGAAGGCTCAACTGCTAGGCTCAGTCCGTGACGAAACTTGAAGCTCGCAGATCAGAGCCCCAAATCGAAAGCCCTAAGCGGCGCTGAAGCATCAGGAAGCCGGGGACAGCGGCAGCCCTAAACCCCAAACCCCAAACCCTAAACCCTAAACCCTGCCTATGTGACGGACTTGTGTGGAGCCTTGCCTGCTGCGTGCGAGTGTGAGAGTCGAAACCCTGCCTAAACCCTAAACCCTAAACCTAAACCCTACCCTGTTTTGCCCTGTTTAGGGCAAAAAAAAGCCTTAAACCCTGCAGGTGTGATGCTTTTTCTCTGGGCTGCCTTCCTGGTGACCAGCATCTTGCAAGTTCGCTCGGAGGGTTCTGATTTCGAGGCTTTGGTTCAGAGTGATATGTGGGCCTTAATAGTTAGAATAGGGTTTTGGGGCCTTTTGGCCCCCATTCTACTATAATCATAATGAGGAGCCCTGAAAAGAGTACTAGCAATTATTCAGGCCCCTACATCAGGGTTTAGCAAAAATGGGTTTTAGATAGGAGAACGCGTAGCTCTAAACCAAAGAAACAGTCATGCTTGGACACCGAATCTGAAGCCGTTGGGCCTTGGTTTCCGTGTGAGCGTTTGGTTCCGGGGGTGGGAAATCGGTCAGGATTTGGGGTTCAGGGTTCAGGGTCCAGCTTTGGGGGCAGAATAGCGCTGTGGCTCCTCTCGTTCGCTAGCTGCTAGTGTCGAAACCACAACACTTCGACCTCAGTTCAGGCTAGAAAGCCTGATAAGGAATCAGAAGAACAAGCCGCCTCGAGCGGGGACCGCATGACGCGTAGGATTTCTCCTCTGCCTTCCGGTCGAAGGCAGAGGACGCTGAACTCCTCAGCCCCAGAATTTGCATCAGTCATGAAATGTAGACATATTCAGACCCTACGTACTTCCTTGATCAATGAGAACGATATTGTAGATACAGCGACATGTTCACCTTTCGGATGCTAGGGTGCCTCACCTGGAAATGTCTGAACCTGACGATCAAAGGCCTCGCGCCCGAAACGCTAAACCCGAAGCGTAAACCCCCAGAATCCCTAGAGCATACACACACACACACGCACACACACACACATATATATATATATGTATATATATATATATGTATACACACACTTGGTGGGAGTGTCTTCAACCCTACTGAATTGAGCATGTGTGGTCGATATGCCTGAACTGTATGTCCTAGACTCAAACGAGCTTGACTGCTTAACATGATTTCCAATCCTTTCTGCAGTGGAGAGACCTCCAAGCCCTGAGCCAAACCGCAAGCCACAGGCCCTGAGCCCCGAAACCCAAACCCTATAAACCTTGCAGGGCGCAGCTTCCCTGCACCAGCGAAGCGGGTGGAACGGAAATCCCCCAAAATCCCCATTGGCCCAGGCATTCCACCCTTTAGCCCATCCTGTGAGCAGCCGCTGGGTGATACAGTAGGGTTTTGATAGGGTTGGATAGCATAGGGTTCATAGGCCTTGCAAGTTTCAAGTGTTTCCACAGGGTTTGATGGGGTTTCATAGGATTTGTTGAAGAGTTTGGCCTTGCAGCACCCAGTCGTTAAATGCTACAAGATACCACCAAACCCTGCTCTGCTTATTACAGCTCCTATACGAGGGTTTAATAGTGTTTTTAATTTCGAGGCCTTCGGCTTTAGGACGCCGGGCTTTTCAGCATTCATATCTTTGGGCTTTGGGCTCAGGGTTTTCTCTTCTGGATTTAGGTTAGCTTTCAGGTTCACGGGCTCCTTGTAGAAAGCTGAGCATTGAGTGTTGCGTGTGAAGGGTTTAAGTCGCAGCTCCGAACCACACTGTCAATCCTTACTAGTTCTCAGACTGTGTAGCAACCTTGACCAGCATGGCAATACCTGCGGTGAACGGTGATGCACTAGCACTAACAGCAGAAGTCCGGCCACTGTAAGTAGGAAACGTTTTCAATGCTGCAAACATGAAAACTCACCTCAAGGGTGAGGAGTTTGGGCTTTTCTCGTGTAGGGTTTAGGGTTGACGGATTTAATAGACAACACAGGGCGATGAGGACCCTCATGGGTTAGGGCAGGCTAGTCGCTTCAATTCGGCAGGGAAGCATCCCCCGCAAAAACCGAAGCGCCGGCTTTGCGGTGAAGCTTCGGGCACAACTCCAAGGCGTAATGGTGTCGCCATGAACCCTGCTCCCCACATCCCGGAAGCATGCATTTGGTGCTCCGCAGAGCTTGGGCCTGCCATGCCAACTGGATGTAGGCATGTTTCGTTGTTCACAGCCTAGGCTTGCAGGCCCAGCTTCGAAGCCTCAAGCTCCACAGGAGTGCTCACATAATTTACAACCCCCTGATCAGTAAGCACTTTCCGTAAGTTCTTTCATGAGTTAATGCATTGAACATGAAGCTCGTGGCTGCAGGCTCTGTGATGACGTGGGCCAGTGCCCAGAACTCTTCCGGGTCAGAGTGCCCTGGCCTACATGTGAACATTGGTTGTTGATGCATTCTGGCTTTCGTTGGGGTCGAACGCTCCGAGGGGTATCTTTGTTGCTGGCTGACTCTTGGACAGTGATTAGCCCATAGCTAGGAGCCTTGATGTGAAGCTGAAGCTTTGTCATGAAGTACATTTAATTCACTCCTTTAACCCTAAACCCTAAACCCAATAAGATAGTGCTTTTGAGCACCTTCGTGTCAGGGTTTGGCGGATTTCTGCTCCGACCCGAAGCCCTCCCGAAACCTCGGAACTGTAGAGCTAAGCGCTCAATCTTAAGATCCTGACCCCCAAACCTGAAACCTAAACCCTGAACCCTTAAGATCCCCCACAACCCTGAACTGGAAGGACTTTGTCAGGCTTTGTCCGAGTGTGAGTGTCAAAACCCTGAGGATCCCAAGCCCCAAAGTTTTCGACTTTCAGACTTGAAGACCCCATCTGTCTTGCGCGAGTTGTGAGAGCATAGATCCATGAGCCGATCCCTAAACCTCCGAGTATCCTGCGCCCAAAAAGCGTCTATACATGTAACCCTCCAGACCTTCGGGAGAATCCCGCATACACTTAGCTTATCTCCGAAAACCTGAAGCCATCCGACCCAGGGAACTTTCGACCCCAGGATTCAAGGTTTTGTCTCAGGGGTTCAAGGTTTCGGGTTCAGGGTTTAGGCACTTCAGAGAGACCTCGTTCAACAAAGGGTTTAGGGTTCAGGGTTTAGGGTTTAGAATTTCCAGCTGCCGAGCATTGTGCTAGTCGGCGGGCGAGTGGCTAACTACCAGGCGTTCTTGCTTGCAAGCCTGCAGCAAAAGGGTTTAGGGTTCAGGGTCAAGGTATGGAAGTGCAGTCACGAGAGCCGAACCTCCGTGTGCTCAGACCTCCAGGCGATTTCACAAGTCCTGATGCAAAAAGGGTTCAGGGTTGAGGCAGTTTAGGCATCCCGGGACCCTAAAATCCCCAATCGTCCGACCCACGAGGCTTCGAAGCTGGATTGCACTCTGCAGGGCCACACGGCCTGTCAGATCCTCATGCTGTGGGGGCCTCGGTGACGCTTCAATCCTCTACGGCTTAAGCCGGCCTACACCCTAAACCCTCAGGGGCTCGGGGCTCTGAACTCGCATGGAGCAGCTCCCATTTTGAACTAAAAGGGTTTCTGAGCTCTTTCGTCTAAGGGTTGCTATAAGGGTTGCTTTGAAGGATCTATTGCGGTTCCATAAGCGGTTCAGGGTTTAGGGGTGGTGGGTGAGATACAAGGCTTCGGCGTCCAGCTTGAGTTTCAGGGTAGTTCTCAAAGCAAGGGAAGCAGCTGGGGGGATGTTGTACTTCTGTGATGCTAGCTTTGACTACTAGGAATTTTCTGAGTCCTTTCCAATGAATCTGTGCCTGTTCGGAATAGTTTATTCTGAAAGCGCTTCCGGTGGGGAACCCTGTCCGAGTGGAGCCTTGCCGGCCTTGTGCGAGTGTGAGAGTCGAAATCTCAGAGATTACTCTTGCTATTCTTCTTGCATCTTCTTGCTGTTATTTGTATTATCATCATGTCATCTTAAGCCCTCAGTAAACAATCGTAGCCTTCATGTCCTTAGCTTTCCGGATGCTCGCGTGGATGAGTTTAGGGTGCAGCGGGCACGCCAGGTGGTCGGGTTTGTAAGGGTTTAAGATTAAGGGAAGAGGCGAAAAGGTTAGCGTCTAAGGTGCCGTATTTTTGGGAATCGCGGCAGGCTGTCGTGCAAGCAGCACTCCGCCTTGGCTCCTCTAGACCCAACCTTGCACAGAAAGCTGAGATATGCTGCACACCCTAGAGGCCCCCAAACCCGAGCGCGACAACGTGGGTGGGCCCGGCACAAGCACCTCCCTCAACATGTATCTATAAGGAGTTTAGCAGACTGCTGTTTTTAGGAAGGTGCGTAAACTGCGTCTTGATTCCGGTCCCCAGGCTCGAGTTCGGGTCGGGTTTCCGAGGGTCTATCTTTCTGCTAGCCAAACACGAGACCCTCCTGAGCCAAGGTTCCTGCTTTCTCTGCCCTTTGCGCTGCCTCAGTTCTATCATCAGTACCTGGCCTTGCGACTGGGCCGCGAGTCGGGTTTCGGGGTCGGAGGGCCGGGAGCCCGAGTCCGACAACCCAAATCCAGGCCAGACCTCTTCCCTCAAACTTGGTGCCTTGCGTACTGGCAAGGACGACAAAAAAGGAACTCCTGGCCCCAGACATCCTGGCCCCTTCCCCTAAATCCCAACAGCCTGAACTAAATCCTTGGAGCCCTAACTAAAGGCGCCAGGCCATGAACCGGAGGTGTCAGTGCATGCTGGCGCAAGTTCGTGGATTTCATCTTTTTGTGTTGGTTCTTGTGAGGCGATTGTGTTCCCGTGGCTCAGCGCCACAGGGTTCGAAGGGCCTCGAGCTAGTCTTGGCGGGGTTTAGGTGATTTGAGAGCTCGCAGCTTCTAAACAGCTCCGTAGCCGAAGTCAGCTATCGCATACAATGAAGCGTGCGACTGCCCCCGAGATTTTGGCTCTTCTGCTTCTACCTGTCGGCCACACTTCTCTACGAACGAACGCACCTTAGCTGACAGCAACTGGCGATCTGGACGAAGGTTTAGTGGTCGTGGGTCCAGAGCAGGTTTTCAGGGTTGACGGCCCAGGGCCCTTTTTTTTAACTACTCTTTAAAGACTCCAAACCCCTAATCCCTAAAACCCTGGAGGCCTAAAGCCCCGGAGCCCCCAAGGCTTTAAAACCCCTAATCCCTAATTCCCTAGAGCCCTAAAGCCCCGGAGCCCCCAAGGCCTTAAAGAACCCCGGTAACCCGTTCCTTTTCGTCGCCTTTGCCCTTTGCCTCGAGGCTCGTAGGAGCCGATCCCAAGAAGCCCAGCCAGGAGGAATCCTGAGCACGAGAGATTTGTGCAGGGTTTAGGATGTAGGATTCAGGATTTAGGGTTTAGGATTTAGGATGTAGGGTTTAGGATTTAGGGTTTAGGGTTTAGGATTTTTGGGTTTAGGGTTTATGATCTGCAATTTGTGTTTCTGGTGGCATCATTGTGCTTGGTGGGGCATCCTTGCTACCACAAGTATGATAGATAGGATTAATATAGGAAGTGTGTGACCATCCCATAAACTGGACACGATGCGAGAATCACAGCTGTTCCACTGCACACCAGTAATCCGCCCACGAGTCCAGTCTAAACCCGAAACCCAGAGCCCGAGCCCCGAGGCTTAGGGGTCACGCCCTCGATCCTTAAGGGTTTGGCTTCAAAAACGGTTGATGGCTGCGGCGTGCTGCCTGCTCCCGGCATGTCACGGTTGAGCTTGGGGTTGAAAAAGGGTCGGTGGATGAAGGCTCGGGTTCTTCCGGACTTGGGTTTGGGGTTGTGTGCTGTCGGCGCAAAGATCCTGAGTTTCTCGGGTCCGTTTGTTGACGGCAAAGTTCGGTTGCTGAGCTTGTGACCTTGTCGGCCATGCGCCGCAGGTATTCATAGGCAGTGCGACTTGGCATTTAGTTTCGTGCTTAATCATTTTCCCCATCAGAAGGATCCGTATGTTTTGTTGGAGGTTTCGTCGGAAGACGTTTGCTGAAGCCTGGGGATGTTCAGACATCCCCCTGGTTTCTGCATCGCAACCTCTGCTCGCAACTCTAAACTTTCCAAAACCCGAAATCCCAAACCCACAGAGTGCCAGAAACCTGACGACCTGTGGAAAGCCCAGCCCAGGTACGACAACGCCATCGAGAGACTGCACCATAAAGACATTCCATTGCACTGTGGCCTGCTGGGGGCCCAGGTCTCTGCCATATATGAAGTAGCTATGTATGTGTGTGTATTCGTGTACGCAGGTATGTACGTATGTCTGTGGGGTTGGATGTCTGTCCGTAAGTAGGTTATATAGATATGTAGGTATTTCTGTAGCTATGTTTGTAGGTATGTACGTATCTAGGTGTGTAGGTAAGTATCTAGGTGTATATGTAGGTAGGTATGCAGGCAGGTATGTAGGTATGCACGGAGGGGTGATGTGGGGAGGGAGGGAAATAGGAACCCGTGTTGATTTTTAGCTGTAGTTGCTTTATGGTGTTTTTTGTTGTCCCTGGTTCCCGCAACGACAGCAGAAAAATAAACGCGCCCCCGCCACGACAGCAAAAAAAATAAACGCCGCAACGACAGCAAAAAAGCAACGACAGCAAAAACATAAACACTCTTACCAGGGAAGTAACTCGGTATGTATGTAGGTTGTGAGGTATGCATATACGCATGTATGTACGCAGCTGCATAAGCTGCATAAGCTACATAAGCATGTAAGTATGTAAGTATGTATGTATGTATGTATGTATGTATGTATGTATGTTTGTCTGTTATGTACTGTATTGTAATGTAATGTTATGTAATGTATGTAAGGTATGTAATATAATGTATGTAATTTATGTAATTATGTTATGGCTGTATGCATGGATGGATGGATGTAAATATGTATGTATGCATGTATGTATGTACGTACGTACGTATGTAGCTATGTTTGCATGCTTGTATGCATGCATGCGTGTTAACATGTATGAACGCACTTATGTGTGTATGTATGTACACACATGTGCACGTATGCACACAGGTACATATGCATGCCTGGATGTATTCCTGCATGTTTGCATGTATTCACGTATGGATGAACGCATGCATGCATGTATGTTTTGTTCATGCTTTTTGATTGTATGCTGTTTTTTTTTATCGGGTATGTAGGTAGGTAAACGACTAAAGGTGCATTTATTTTCTGTACACACGCAGAAGTTACATCCCCGTCTTTCTCTCACTCTCGCTCTCCCTCCCTCTGTCTAAGCGAGTCCTCCACGCCCATCTCCGAGCCAGGCTTCTTATGGCCTGGAGTTTCAGCGCCACGCGGAAGTACTACCTCGCCCCTTTTTGGCTGAAGCAGTGTCAGGGAGAATGTACAGGGTCTTTTGGGGGATGCAGGGTTTTTGTTTTTTTTTTCAGGTTTTATGTTCAGGGCTTTGGGTCTCTGCGCAAATTAGGGTTCAGTTTGTTTTGGGAAACCGGAGGAAAAGGGCAGGGTGTACGGTTGCGCTGCGGTTGTCTCAACCTCCACTCTATAAGCCCCAAACCCTAAAGTCAGCGGAAGCACAGACGGAGGGTTGCACTGTGCATTTCGAAGCCCCCTAACATCCGCAAGCCATAGGTCCTATAACGCATGACGCAGAAGAACCCCAAACCCCGAGAACAAGGTAGAACCTTGCTCCGCCAAGACCCCATACCCCATTGTGTCGTCTGCAGATCTTGCCCGGCAGTGACCGAGTATAAGCGTCAAACGAAAACCCTAAATCCAACCGAGAACCCCGTAAGCCTCAGCCGAGTCTATGCTCAGCTATAAACACCCGAATGCATCCCTGAAGAGTAGGATCCTGATGAGAGCTACTATACGTCAAATATCCCGAAAAAGGAACCCCCAAGCCTGAACTCTAATCCCTAAACTTCCAAAACTCATCACGAGCCCCTGAGCCCAAAACCCGAAACCCCCTACTTCGCGACTCGTTCAGCCATGTAGGAGGCAAAAAAACCCGAAGCCCTACGCCTGAAGACCCTAATCCCCAAAGCTCTATGAGGCCCAAGCCCTAAGCCCTACAACCCTAAACCCCTAAACCCTAAACCCTAAACCCTGAAGCCCTAAACCCCTAAACCCCTAAACCCCTAAAGCCTAGGCATGTCCGAGAGTGAGTGCTGAAACCCCTAAAACCCTACGCCCTACACCGCCCTAAAGGAGCGATCCATGCGTCGGCAGTACATTGGGGGCTTGAAGCAGCGCCAAGCCATGGCTCGGCTGCTACCTGGGCTGCGACATTTTTTTTTGGGTGGGGGTCCCCCTTTTTTTTGAGGGGTTTTGGGGTTTAGGGTTTGGGTCCCTTTTTTTTGAGGGGTTTTGGGGGTTTAGGGTTTAGAGTTGAGGGATGTCGTGGATTTTTGGTGAGGGTTTTTTTGAGGGTTTCTAGGCTTTTTTTATTCAACAGGTCTACGGGCTGTGGAGGGCTTTTTCCATGTTTTGAGGGTTCAGAGCAGATAGGATTAGGGTCGCGGATGGTGTGTGTTTCTCCCACGGGTTTGCGTCACCCTGCTGCAGACTAGGAGCTAGGTTCGGGGCTTGGGATTCGAGTCTGAGGGTTTAGGGTTCGATAGGGGTTCGATTCTATGGGGCTTGATTGGGGTTGCGGGTTCGAGGTTCGATCCCAAAAAGTCCGACCTCGAGCTGCCACAAATCCTTACGTGCCGAAGCTACTCTCGGGAGAAGTGCTCTTAGTGTGCGAAGAACCGCATGCAGCCTCTACCCAACAGGTTGATGTCAACAAGCTGGCACTGTCATCCTGCGATTTGGGGTTTTGCGGTTCAGGCGCTGGGATCTATTGGTTCAGTAGGGTGTAGGGGTTCAGTGGTGTCCAGGGCTTCAGTTTGAGGGCACCTTTAGTAATTAGGGCCTCAGGCCCAAAAGTGGGGAACCAAACTAAACCCACGCCGGCACACTCTGAACCCGTACACTGCAAGGACCTGAACTTCACCCTGGACCTTGTCCAACTCTTGTAGAATCTCTTAAAAGGAGCTTTTCCAGGTACCCTATAGGACCCCTCAGAGTCGAGGTACATGTCTTTGTGCGCCCAAGGAGTGTAGTTTAGGGTTTGAATAGGGTATATGCATAGTCCAGGTGTAAAAAGGGCTTAGGGTTTAGAGTTTAGTAGGCTCCTCCGTGCTTCAGATGTTTCAGATGCTTAGGGTTAGTGCCACGAGTGCAGCAGCTCAGAGAACCAGGCGGGCATGCACAAGCCTGTGCAAAAGGATTCAGTAGAGTCGGGAAGCCTCGAACGCCACGTGCGGGCGGAGTTGGAAGTCGAAGTCGTTAGGGAGTCGACATACTACATGTTCTGTTCAAGCTCTTAAATTTAAAAGGAACCCCTTTAAAAAAAGAAATCTTTCAAGGAGCTCTTACAGGAATGCGTTGGGGGCAGCCTGAGGTACTACATGTTTAAGGAGATGGTGCCGGAGTACCTGATCCCTCGGATGTTAGAGGCTGAAACGATTGCAGATCCTGTGAGCCCGGCATCTCTGGCCCAACTTAGAGGGCAAAGGACGCCCTTTTAAGGGTTTCAGGCTTTTCGCCGGGGCGACTGCTGGGGTCTTAGGATGCAGGATTTTTTTGGGTATTTTCGGGTTTGGGGCTTCTAGGGATTATTGCTTTGGGCCTGGCTGCAAAGCGGTTTGGGCTTGTTGATTTTTAGATTTGGGCTCTGTGGATTTAGCTGCGGGTCCCGGCGAGCTTGGGGTGCATGATTTCAATATTCCTAGTGCGCCGACACCTGTCAAGCAGGTAAGGTGAAGGCCGCGTTCTCCTGCATCATAAAGGGGTTTAGGGTTCTTCTCAACCTCCTTGAACTGAACCTGCGTTCTCATTGCCACTGCTATCAGTTTCTAACACGTTTGCAGGACTGCTTACGACTGTTTCCTGTTGCATTCCACCACTTCCCAATACAACTTGAAGCTACATGCTACTACGTCCCACCTCCGCCTGCTCCTCCTGCTCCTCCTGCTTCTCCTCCGCCTACTACTACAGCTACCACTACCACT